GGTGTTAGCCGGTGGGGTGGTGTTCGTGGCTTTTTGCGGATGAAGTGCGGGCCGGTTTTCTTGGTTTGCTTTATGCTCGGGTCTTCGTCTTACTAGGCCTTATGCAGTGGTGATCGAGGTATCGGAGTTTCGAAGCTTTCCTCAGATTCGGCTCTGTCTGCTGTCCTTTTCGGATATATGTGCTGAGGGAGGCATTGTTATTAGATTGTAGTTGCTTTTGGTTTTTGTGTTTTTAGTTTTTGTTCTTGTTTAGTTGTTTGTGTTGGTGCTTTGTTAGTTGTTGTGTTTTTTGTCAGGGCCGTTGGCCTCTGTGCTGATTCCCCCGTGGGGGGCGATCCTATTCTCCCGTGGGGAGCGATCTTAGTTGTGTTAGTGTCTTTTAGTTGTTTGTAGTAGGTTTTTCTATTCTAGCGAGGCTCTAGTCGGTCTTTCGATCCATCCTCCCAGTTTCTAGTTCTTGGTCGTAATATTTAGCCTTGGGCTGCTTTCTTGCACTGTTGTGCGTTTTGATTTTATAATACCTCTATCGTTTCGGCCAAAAAAACATAATTATTTTGATTATTTCATTACATATTTAAGTACTTATGAATAGTGAATATAATTAATTAAATTAATATCTACAACCACAAATGATAATATATTTAATCAAATCAATCTTTATAATAATATTTTGAACTGCGTCAATATATTACTACTAAATTAATATAAGACCTTATTGAAAATATATCAAATAAACCTACGGTCAAATTTTCAATTTAAGCTAATCTATCATTATATAAAAAGAATAACCTTTTTATGATTTCCCGCCAAAATAATTAAATAAATACCTTTTTATGCTTTTTCCTCCAAAATCATTAAATAAATAGTGATATATTTTTAACAAAAAAACCGGAGCTGGTTTTTGTGATGTTTTATTTTTTTTATTTTTTAGGTTAACAAAATAATATATGCGATGATTTTTTTTATGTTTTCTTTTCCTATTTTTTAGGTTAATAAAATAATAGATATTGTGTTGATTTGTTTCCTCTTTCATTTAAATTCTTTTTAGGCAGAAATTTTGAAACATTATATCTGATTTAATGTGTAGATATTTATTTTTTTTTCTGTTAAATTCAAATGTTTTTAGATATGTTTTCCTTCTAATATGTGAAATTGATCTTTCTACCTTTAAAATCGTTTCCACTTTCAATCTGTACAAAGTTTATCCACAACATATATCTACACTAGTTTATCTCTCATCTGTTATAAAATCTCATTAGGTATCGAAATTTAAAAAATCTCATCATTTATCTATACTAATTTAAAAAATAAAATACAACGATGCTTCTAATTTTCATCGGTCTAATTACTAATATTTTTACAAATATTATAAATTGACAATACATCTTCGATAACAACGTAAAAAGTATAATAATAATTTTGAAATTGTTGTCAGATTATTAAATTACACTTATAATATTTTAGATAATTTAAACAAATTATTTAGATATTTTTTTACATGTTCGTCTATATATACACATATATATACACACATATAAGTTATATTTAAATATTTGTAGACATATTTCCTTTACAAAATAGTCTAGAAAAATCTTTTTTACACAATGTTAAATTCAAATGTTTTTAGATATGTTTTCCTT